ATTTGGAGTCACTGCTTGGCTCCCCAGCACCCCCCCACACTTGTTTCTGAAGGAAATGTCCCCCACACAGTCCCATATTGTGCCATTTACCTGTCCCCCACTGCCAAGTGTTCCGCTATGTGAATACACCATACTTTAGTTCTCCAAGTCTAAGATGCGTGTGGCTAGAGGGGAGGGCAGACCGACTTCCCTCCAGTGCACCTGGTAGGAGCTGTGGCAGCATACCTGAAGAAATAAATCGTGCATCACCGTGCTCAGAGGTCACTATGAGTGTGCCAGGCACTGGTGCTTCATAGGTTTTTCTCTCTGCTTGAACCTAAGCATAGCCAGAAGTAGGAGGCAGGATATGTCTGCCTATGTATGGGAAACATCCTGAAGTCCAGATTGACTGGAGCACAGGGTTTACATAAGGCAGAGTGGGAGGACCAGTTGGAAAGGTGACAGGTAAGAATTTGAATGTAGGCCGGGTGTGGTGGCTCACGCCTGTAATCCTAGCATTCTGAGAGGCTGAGGCGGGTGGATCGCTCAAGGCCGGGAGTTTGAAACCAGCCTGAGCAAGAGCAAGATTCCTCTCTACTAAAAAATAGAAAGAAATTATCTGGACAACTATATATATATAATTAGCCGGGCATGGTGGAGCATGCCTGTAGTCCCAGCTACTAGGGAGGCTGAGGCAGGATTGCTTGAGCCCAGGAGTTTGAGGTTGCTGTGAGCTAGGCTGATGCCATGGCACTCTAGCCCAGGCAACAGAGCCAGACTCTGTTTAAAAAAAAAAAAGAATTTGAATGTTATTCTGTAGTAGGAAGACAAAGGAACTATCTCATTCCCTTGTTTTTTTTCTTCATAATACTAAACACAATTTCTAACTATTTTATTTTATATTTCTTCTTCTATCTCCAGTACCTGGTATGGCACCCGTTTTTTAGAAGCTATTCATGTATTTATTAATATTCAACGAATGTAAGAATGATTCCTTTTAATTTATAATAGTTATCAGTCATTTATATTTTTAAGTCTCAAATTGTTCAGATATCTAAAGTGTCAAAGTTCTTTTTCTATCTTAATCATAGTCTTTTAAAACAAAATTTGTTTAAACTGCGTAGTTTCATGATCATTGTAAAAAGGTTTAACAGATATGAAAAAGGAAGAAAAGATACAATTACCTAGAAATAATTATTGTTAGTATTTTGGCAAATAGGCTTCTAGAATTTGCATGAAAATATATATCCAGATGAGTATATGTCATTATACTTTTTATAAATATGGAATCATACTGTTCATTTATTGTTTTTACCATTTAACGATGTTCTGTGACCATTCCTATCAGTATCTATTGAAATATCTCATAATTTTAAATCAAACTCTAATTGTTGGACTTACAGGTTCTTTCCTGTTGGCAATTATATAGAATGTTCTCTGTGTATTTTTATGCACTTGTCTATTTACTGAGGATAAATCCTGACAGAATTGCTGAGTCTAAGGGAAGTCAGTTTTTAAAGGCTCCAGAAAGGTGGTACCCATTTGTATTCTCACCAGCTTCTTTCTCACTCCCATGCCAGTGGTAGGTATCATTATTGTGTCAGATACCTCCTATGTACCACCTTGGGTCTTCTTGGCCTCATCTGACCCTTGACAATATGATCTGTTTCAACTACTGCATCAGTGACCAACTCTGACTTCATTTGGATCCTGCCAGCCAGCACCTGCTCTCACCTCCTGTACCAGGCTTCCTTGGTGCCACTGAGGCATGAAACCCTTGGGCCCTGCTCAGGGCCCCCACACATTTACTTTGGATGGTGGAATTTGGGAGCCACTGGGTAGATTTTTCTTCCTTCTTCTCCTGAGATGGACTCCCCAGAAATGCAGTCATTCCTACAGTCTCTTGAAAAATTCAAGATTGAAACATTAGTTAGCTTGTTACTAAGTGATATTATCTAAGTTACTAAGTTCAGTAGTGCAGCCTCATATTTGATTCATCTTCCTATCTCATTTTTTTAATTCCCCTTATTCCTGCTTCCTTGGGATAGCAATCCCTATAAAAATAGGAACATATGGTATTATGTTTTCTTGGGGGGTCTCAGGCCAAGATGTCCTTCTTTTTAATAGTTGGATAGCAGGGGCCTCAAACTACGGCTCATGGGTCACATGTGGCCCGCCGAGGACATTTATCCGGCAAGCCAGGTATTTTTGCCGCTGCTACCCGTCCTGCTTAGCAGCCGACTCATCCCAGGCCCACAGTGCTCATGTGCGGAATGTGCGCCACAAATGGTCTGAGGGACAGTGAACTGGCCTCCTGTGTAAAAAGTTTGAGGACCCCTGGTTGTATAGTATCCCATAGCATGGCTATACCATGTACCAACCGTGCAGTTTCAGGTTATTTCCAGGTTTTTGTCACTAAAAACAAACAAACAACTACAATAAACATCTTTGAACAGATATCTTTACCTTTGTAAAACAAATTTCAAGATTGAGATTCTGGGTCAAAAAGTATATCTAAGGAGATAGGAATTTTATACCAAAGAATGTGTTGTATGAGAAATGGTTCTTTTCTTTTTTTTATTCAAAACAAAATAAACTGAATTGGCAAGCTCCTATCCTGCCTAGGAAATTCAGCCTTAGTTATTAGAGGTCTTCTCTCTTTTGTAGGGTCTCATGAGAATATAGGAGACGTACATGATTCACAGAAAAAGGGGGCAGGGTATCTAGTCTTTGGTCCATCTTGATCACAGCTTATAGATACCCTCATTGACTAAAACCTTTGGTTTTCTTGAAGGACTGCTCTGCTGTTTTGAAGCCAGGTGTTAGGACAGGAATCTGATGCTTAGATCCTGGGGTCTGCCTGTTTATCTATGGGGCAGTTCATCTTTTCCTTATTGATCTGTAAGAGATATTTATATATAGTTTCATCCACACCTATTTTGCTTTTTTGGGAGGAGAACAAGAAAGTGTTGCCTCAATCCTATCTGTTGACTAATCCATTCTTTCTCCACTTATTTGAAGTTCTACTGTGTTTCCCCGAAAATAAGACCTACCCATAAAATAAGCCCTAGCAGGATTTCTTTTTTTTTTTTAATTTTTATTTTATCATATTATGGGGGTACAAATATTGTTAAGGTTACATATATTGTCCTTGCCATTCCCCCCAGCAGGATTTCTAAGCATTTGCGCAATATAATTCCTACCCCGAAAATAAGACCTAGTGATGGGCATGGCTATGCAGCAGCATATCTGTACAACTGAAATGGTAAGAAGAGAGATTAGGGCAATGGTTCTAAAGGAAATAGAGTCACAAGAAATTCAGGATGGAATTCAGGCTTTGGAGAGTTATGATGATGTTCTAGAAGAAGATGACTTAACTATATTTGAATAAATGTAGATTGTTGTACCGTACTTAAAAAAAATAACACATCCCCTGAAAATAAGCCCTAGGGTGTCTTCTTGAGGAAAAATAAATATAAGACCTTGTCTTATTTTCAGGGAAACATGGTATATTTATCATATGCTAAATAAAGTATTTTATTAATATATGCATAGATATGTTTGGGGATTTTTGAATTTAGTTCTGTTTTATGAATCTTTTGGTTTCAGTTTTGTCCATACTTTTTATTATTTTAGCATTATAATGCTTTTTAATATCTGATAAAGCAAAATTCTCCCCAGTATTCTTTTTCAAGCACTTTTAAATTTATTATATATTGGAGGGAATATATATTATATATTGGATGTACTTTTAAATTCACTTTGCCCAGTTTTAAGGGTATTTTGATTTATTATTTTCTTAAATGATATTTATCTTTATAATAGAGAGTCTTCCCTTTGAACTAGATGGATCTCATTTTGTTTAAATCTTCTGTTACAGATTTTGTACTGTATTTCTCACCTGTATTTTAACTGATTGTTGTTACTATAGTGAAAGCTATTGAAATATATGTACTAACCAGCCACTTTTCTAAATTTCCTACCCTCCTCCAGCTTTATTGAGTTATAATTTACATAAAATAAAACTCACCCATTTTGTGTGCAATTTGATGAATTTTGGTGATTGTGTAGAGTGTAACCATCACAATCACAAGGTAGAAAACACTGTCATTCACTTTTTAAACAGTTTTCTTATCCCCCTTTGCAGATGATCCCAATCTTGACTACCAGTCCCAGCAAACACCAACCTGTTTTCTGTCTTTAAAGTTTTGCTGTTCCTTAGATTTTATGTTAATTAAGTCATACAGTATATAATTTTTTTTTTTTTGAGACAGAGTCTCGTTTTGTTGCCCAGGCTAGAGTGAGTGACGTGGCGTCAGCCTAGCTCACAGCAACCTCAAACTCCTGGGCTCAAGCAACTCCCGCCCGGCCTAGTTTTTTATTTAACATAAATTGCTGAGTAGTATTCTATGGATTATCTCAATTTGTCCATTTGGTTAATGGGCATTTGGGTTGTTCTAGCTTTTGACTCTTACACATAATGCAGCTATGAATATCTGCTTGCAGGTTGTTGGGCATGTTTTTATTTCTTCTGGCTAAAGACCTAGGAATGGGATTCTTTAACTTTAGTAAAAACTGCCTAACAATTTTGTGAAACAGCAGGGTAGGAGAGTTACTGTTGCCCCAGGTCCTCACCAGCACTTAGTATCATTGTATTTTGTTGTTTTGTTTTGTTTTGTTTTGAATCATCCTGATAGATATATATGACTAAAACGTGTCACTCTGGCCAACGTGGTGGCTCACGCCTGTAATCTTAGCACTCTGGGAGGCCGAGGTGGGCGGATTGCTTAAGGTCAGGAGTTCGAAACCAGCCTGAGCAACAGTGAGACCCCATCTCTACTATAAATAGAAAGAAATTAATTGGCCAACTAATATGTATAGAAAAAATTAGCCAGGCATGGTGGCGCATGCCTGTAGTCCCAGCTACTCCGGAGGCTGAGGCAGTAGGATTGCTTGACCCCAGGAGTTTGAGGTTGCTGTGAGCTAGGCTGATGCCATGGCACTCACTCTAGCCTGGGCAACAAAGTGAGACTCTGTCTCCAAATAAATAAATAAATAAATAAAACTTGTCACTTGCCCTCACATATGCCACAGGTTGCATTTTTAAATGCAGTGCCAGTTACTAAACAGTTTTAGATTTAGAGGTGCTCTATCATCCAAGAAGCCTGGGACAGGGTGAGAAGATGGAAAGAATATGGGCTTTGGGGTGCAGCAGATGCACCTTGAACGCTGGCTCTGCTGTTTGTCAGCTGGGAAGTGACCCCTTCCCCTTGCAAATCCTTTCTGTAATGAGGAGGGGAAGGAAGGAAACTTTCTGCCTTGGTTTCCTCATCTGTAAAATACTGAAATACTGTTTTCTTCAAAGAGCTATGAGGATTAAATAAAGTTCTATAACTTAGGACAGTGCTTGTCAGACTTGGATGTACACACAAATCACCCTGGGATCGGCCAAGATTCCATACCGGGAACCAGCTCCCAGGTGATGCCCAGGCTGAAGTTCAAGGACCGTGTTTGAGCAGCAAGGATATAGGGTGCCTGGCATTTAGCAGAGTTCAGTAAATATAATCCTCTCTTCTGTCCCCTTGGTCATTCCTCCTCTCCACATTCCATGCTTAGATTAGCTTTTAATTTTCATCCCATCCCTGTGTACTAAGTGATGATGTATGTGTCCAATTAAGGTGAGCCTTGGAAGATTTCCTTTCATATCCTTAATCTGAGAAGTAACAAACCTTCTCAGCAGGGTATATTCTTAAAAAGGGAGAGATGTTTTTGAAGTCCTGAATCAAACACTAAGCTGCCATGTTGTAGGAATGATAGAACTTGTGTGACTGTTTGATCCCCGCAGTTCTGAGAGAGATCAGCATGGTCTACTGTGAACATTAGGTGACAATCGTCTGCTGGTGCAGGTTCCATCAAATGCAAGTTGTGGTCTCATTAAGCAGATGACAGCTGGGCAGCATACATTTGTGAAGCCACTAAAGCCTTGTGATCGAGGGGCCATAGGAAGCTGCAGCAGCCGATCCCTCTGGAAGCAATGATGTATGCCGTTGCCATGAAATGGAAAAATCCACTCTGATTAGGCTGAGGTTTTGTGAGTCAGATTTGAAAATGCTAATAAATGTTGACAGGATTTACGTACTGATTCTATTCTTACCACACTTCATTCTCCCACTCTTCACAATGAATGTTGCGCTGTTTTCTCTGAATCTTCATTCAAACACACTAAAAAAAAAAACCTCAAATACATTCAGATACATATTCAGCTTCAATTTGTGTTCTTATTTCTATAATGCCTTTTTTCTGCTAAATTTTTCTTAAAGGATCAAAATAAGTTGAGTATTGTCTGTAAATCGGACATTTATTAATAATTATAGGTAGCTGTAGCTAGCACAGCTTAATCATGTGTTTTATCTGAGCTTTGACTTATAGCTGTCTTGAAGTCTATAAAACAGCTTGTTAAGATGTCTGGAGCATCTTAAGAGAAACGTAAGAGTAGTCTTTGTTTACTTCATTTTATTTGCCATGATACATTTTGGTTTTTAAGCTGATTTTGTTAGCAGCTCAATTAAATATAGTTCAATCCATCTTTTTGGAGTATCCAATAGGAATTTTCCTGTATTTTTTTTAAACCAAATTCCTGATTTACAGAACTTTGAAATATTTTTTATTTTCATTTTTTTATGTTGTAAAGAACACAACCTCTTTACTTCTGCTTGAGATACAAATGTTCGGTTTGGTTGATGAGAATGAGCCAAGTACTGGAGAAGACAACAGCTAGCTGTTCTGTTTTTTCCAGTGAACTGCCGATGAAGGAAGAGGCTAAGGAGGACCTGGACTGCTTCAGTCCGCTGATAATCCAGACTATCAGATCTCCAGCCTGGTACTTCTTGAGCAGGACTGGCCCATACGGCAGTATGTGTTGACGGTTGAAGATGGCAGATACGGAGAATGCAGCATGTCTGTGGAGTTCACTCTGATGTCTCCACATGTCCAACAAAATTCCATCCCTGGTGGGCACTGGGCGTGCGATCAGGCTGCTGGCCCACTTGTGTGGGTGGCCACGGTGCTTCCCCGATTCTGCTGCGCTGCCTCGGCGGGCCGGTAGGCCTCGCTCCTCCGGAAGGCGGCGGGGCGGGCCGCTGGCAGCTTGCCGGCCAGCCGTGACTGGTTTCCTCCGGTCCTGGCCTGCCCAGCAGAGGCCCCCGCGGGCACAGGCGCCGTGTGACGGGCTCTGCGGTAACTCTCGCGCCCGCGGGGCGACCGGCGCCCGGGTTCCTCAGCAAGTGGCGGGCAACCGTTTCGGGGTTCGGCTCCCGTTGGACACTGTTCTTCAGCTCCACCTCGAGGTGACGGCCCCTCAGAAATTTCCCCGTCGCCTCACGCGCCTCGGTCTGGGTCTTCTCGCCGTTTCCTTCTCCTCTCAGCGAGTTCTCCCTTTCCAGCAGCCTGTGGGTTTCAGGGCATGGGAGCACGGCCAGTCCCCGAGGAAAGAAGGGGTCGAGTCCGACCCACAGAGTTGCTCGCGGAGACCCGGGCTCCCCGGGCGGCGAGTCCTCCTCAGGCCGCGGGAGGCTGGGCTTTCCCGGGCGGGTGTCCCGCGTCCCGCCGTCTCCCTCGCGGCGCCCGGGCCCTGTCCCCGCGCGCGGGCGCGGCGCCCCCTGCAGGTGGCGGCGGGAGCAGCGCCCGGCCCTTCCCGCGGCCGCCGCGGTCCTGGGCAGTGAGACTGAGTGTCAGGAGGGAGGGGAGGCTTTTATCCCTCACTTTGGACGTTTTTGTAGAGTTTCTTTTAAAAACGTTCAGCATGTATCACTTTTATAATATTTTGGAAAAGTTTAAATTGGAAAGGTGCACTACAAGAAGAAATGGCAGAAGAGCAAAGAAAAATGCGCTGAACTATCAGCGTGCAGCAGGTGTCGTGGAGACCACAGACGTCGGCCAGGAGGGAGGAAAGGTCCCTCCGGGGGTGACTGAGAGCCGGGCTCCGAGCAGCTCCTCTGCACACCCCTGTGGGCAGCAAGGGAGAATTGCTCAGCGTGTCCCAGAGCCAGGAGGACTCAGGGCTGGCATTTTGATGCCTGGTCCTTTACCAAGAGGGTGCAGGTATTAATTATTTAAAGAGGGAATCTGAATAACGAGTTTTTTCCATTCTCTTTGGTCATGATCACGGGCCCTCCTTACTTTTAACCCTTAACATGCTACCAAACTCAAATATGAGTTTGGTTCCCTTGAGGAGGTGATTTGACAGTTAAGGGGTGTTGGCACCCCCCCCATAGTGGAAACCAGCATCTCTGGTTTATTGGGTGTGGGTGGGCAGGGGAGGGCATTCTGAGCCTCCTTTGCCTGGGCACCTTGGTGTGTTACTCGAGTATCTTCTGCCTGGCAGAAGCAGGTTTGCCCTGTGGTTTACTGAGGTTCAGGAAATCATGAGACTCATAGTAACGCTGGCTACAGAAACACCGGTTTGTTTGATATATTAATAAAAGTGCTTCTGAATGGCAGCAGGGTAGCAAAAGACTTGCTTTTGTGGTGTGCTCTGCATGCCATGTGCTGCAGATCTCTGCTGATTTTTGCCTGTGTTCATTTAGGCTGATCCAGACCCAGGCATTGGGCTGCTTTGGGTCGTGGGAGGAGCTAAGCCCCAGGCTGTCGGGAACCCCAGGCTCTGTTCCTTCCGTCATCCACTGTGGTCTGAACCTCCTGCTTACCTGTTACAAACATGAAAGCAGGGGGCCTCTGGGACTGCAGGATCCTATATCTGGAGCCCCAAAACACCAGGAGCACCTTCTCTGACCTCTCACAGCTGGAACACCAAGCTCTGTGACTGGGTCTCTCTAGTGGCGCCACATTCTAACTTGACAAGTTGCTATCTATATTTTTAAAAATTAGGTTTTACAGTGAACAATTTCAGACATTCACGAATGTAGAGTATATGTAAACAGATTCAGCATTTTCAAATTTTGCTGCACTTGCTTCATCTGTCGCTTTTTTTCTTTTCTCCCTCCCTCCTTTTTCTCCCTTTCTTCCTCGGTTTTTCCTTCTCTCGCTCCCTTGCTTTTTAGTTTCTTATTGCTGAAGTAATTTGGAAGTGATTTGGACCTCATGTCATTTTACTCCTACATACTGAGTAAGTCTGTCGCTAAAAAGTCAGGTCATGCTTCTTCAGGGACAGGTGTCTGACTCTCAGGTTATTATAGGAATGACAGGGTACCTGAAAATGTCATAATGTCCCAGCCAGTCAAGGTGTCTACCCTAGTCCTCTCCATGAACTTCACTTATAGGCATTGGCAGGTGTAGAACGCACGGCCCATGCCCACAGGAAGTGCTGGGGCTTAAGCAGGCCCTGCTTAAGGCCCATGACACCTGGCCCTCTGCTGACACACTGTACCTGGGTCTCTGTCCCAGGTCCTCACCATCCTTTAAATAAGCAATAATAAGTATTCTGAGTGCTATGCTTAAGGCTGCAAATCAGTAAGAGAGACCATCAAAGGTGGACTTGCAGATCCAGTCTAACTGTGCTTATTATTCATTCATTCATTCGCTTATTTGTTCACTAGACCTTTATTAAGGGCTTGCCTCTACTTTTTATTATTGATTAGGAAATTGAAACCCAGAGAGGTGAGAGTAGCAGTGAATGTAAGAAATAGAATCTGTTGTACTTGTTTTTGCTCAAGCTTAACCATATTACACCTATACCTGTTCAAGCCCTGCCTTCCCAGTTATAACAACACCCTACACGTGGCCCTTTGCTGTGTACAAGCACCTTTAATCTGACCCTTAGATCCTCGGGGTGCTTGTTGAGCTCAAACCTGAATTATAGTTCCAGGTAGCTGGATCGTGGCCATACACTATGGCTAAAGACTTTTGGAGCCAATAACCTCCCGTGTTTATTCTGCAATTTAATATAAACTTCATGCCCCAGAGCCTAGAAATAATTTCAAGGGGGAAGAAAAAAAGCACTTTGTATAGTTCATTTAATATAGGTAATTTAATTTAATATGGTTCATTTAATATAAAGTGTGAATTCATGGAAGGAACTGTCTGTCCACATTCTCTACAATTCTACAGATAATTTTGGCCTTTGGCAAATAGTAACTAGTGTTTTCAGTGGCTTTGATGGTAGGTCTTTGTGTGTTTAGAACAGATTTGGTTCAAAAGCCCCCAAATAATCTTTAGAACCATTATAGCTGATCTCATTGTGAAGCCTCTGCCCCCACACCTGATCTGTTCAGTTTTTCATTGAGTCTATAACTGATGGAGCGCCAGCAACAGATGCTGCAGCCTACAGTGATGGGGCTGTGTTTGTTGTTTTTTTGTTTGTTTGTAGAGATAGGGTCTTGCCATGTTTCCCAGGCTGGTCTCGAACTCCTGGCCTCAAGCGATACTCCCATCTCAGCCTCCCAAAGTGCTGGGATCACAGGTGTGAGCCACCACACCTGGCCTGCATTTATTGATTTAAATTTCTCCTGGTGAGTTCCTTTAGGGAGTGAACAGGCCAATCTCAGAATCGCAGAACTTTCCAGAAATGTCACCTAGAACTCTGATACTGACTCGCTCACTACTTTTCACTGTGTCCTTTTCCTGACTTTCATCTCAACATCCATCCTGTGGTGAACTTGCAATTAATTCAAGATTAGCAAACACCAAACACAAAATATCATTCTAGATTCTTGAGGATTCTAAGATAAAGATGACAATATTCCAGGCCCCAGAGATGTATGATCTCATGGGAGCTGGAGATCCATAACCAGCAGACAGCTGGTGATTACAGAATCACAAATTTAATAGCATAAGAGTTATAAGAAAGTGAGACATTAATCCCCCCAGGAGGTATGGGAAGGTTTCTTCAAAGAAGGGAAATTTGAGCGGGGGTTTGAAAAATGAGTAGAACATCAACAGGTAGCTATAAAAGGGAACTAGTTTGTTCCATACTCATAGGTCCCTGTGTGTCACTGACTTCTAGGTCCCCATCTCGCCCTTACTCACAGAGTTGCCTCTGAGGAAAGGTCCTCCACCTACTGTTTTGCCGACGGGTCCAATTGAAGAGGTTTCACATGGAAGTCACATCTAGTTTTAGGGTGAGATGCATAATCTAATTTTAGGAAGTCCTTCATCTTACAGATAGGTGGCCTGAAGCCCAGAGAGGGTCAAATTCAGCCGAGCCCTACTGCCCCTACTCTCTGAGCCAGTGGACGTGCTTTGTCTAGAAAGTTCCCAAGCCAAGCCAAGGAAGTGGTGTGGATTTCCTCCTATGGCTCTGCTAAAAATAAAACATTGGCTGGTGAAAATAAAGTCTTGCAAAGTAAGTGGACTGGGGAGTACTTATTTGTTTAAAAACATTGCCAGTTCATCTCATATGTCATTTTTTTAAAAGTCTCCTTTAAAGAATATAATTTTTACTTATGCTCAGATAAACCCCATTTACCAGCTAAGTAACTTAACAAAGGGCATTAAGAAAAGACAAAATAAATCAGTTTTAAAGCCAACAGCCATTAAAATGGAGAAGCTGAAAGATACTCATGAGATGGAGAGAAAGTGAGGTTTCTTCTCTCAATCAGACAACAACAACAAAAAAGAAAGGATTATAAACTGTAGGATAAACAAAATATAGAAAGTCATGGCCCAAATATGAATCAACTAAAATATAGCATGATCTGGAGAATTCTTGAAGTAGAAAGAATATCCATGCAACATGCTCTTATATAATTTATACTATATCATCTCTCTATATATATTATTTTTTTGAGTCAGAGTCTCACTCTGTTCCCGGGCTAGAGTGCCCTGGCATCAGCCTAGCCTCACAGCAAGCTCCACTCTGGGTTCAGGCCAATCCTTCTGCTTCAGCTCCCAAGTAGCTGGACTACAGCGTGTGTCATTTTCTATATATTTTATATCTATATTTTTTCTATATATTTAGTTGGACAATTAATTTCTTTCATATTTAGTAGACACGGGGTCTTGCTCTTGCTCAGGCTGGTCTCGAACTCCTGATCTTGAGCGATCCAATCCCTGCCTCACCTCCCAGAGTGCTAGGATACAGGCGTGAGCAGCCACGCCCAGCCCATTTGCAACATGCTCTTGAAGTGACACAGTAGTCAAGATACTGGATGCATAGAGAAAGACATTGTGGCCATGGAAGCGAACAGTGTTTCCACAGTCCCAATATTGTAAGTGCTGTTAATTGACTTGTCAGTTTTAGAATCCACTTGCAGATAAAACAGGGAAGACAATATGTTTTCAGAAGAGGAATGGAATTGTAATGATCTCAACAAGCAAAGTGGACAGTTGGGAGTTGGAAGTGGGGGGGAGGGGCACCGAGGGGGCTCTCGGGCCTTTTATGGTAAGACGTCCAGTGCACAGGCGTTGGTGAGTGAGTGAGCTGAGGTGTTCAGTTTATATTTAAGTACAATGTGGATAACTAATAGAAGAATATGTACCTGTCAGAAAACCTGGAAGGACTGGAAAGGGAGGGGAAGTGGTATCAACTAAATAACTTTTCAGGCTGAGTAGTCTAAGCAATAGCAGTGTGAGTTAGGAAGGTAATCCCAGAATTACAGGCAGACGTGGTTAAGAGTGGTAACCTCTGGGAAGGGTACTGGAAGTGAGCAGAGGGAGGTGGAGACATACGTTTATAGCATATAGGAGATTGCTTGTTAAAAAAAAAAGCTGGGCAGTGGCACACACCTGTCCTCCATGGAAAACCAAGGTGGGAAGATCACTTAAGGCCAAGAGTTTATGACCAGCCTGGGCAACATGGCAAAATCCCATCTCTAAAAAAACCTGAAAAAACCAGGCTTGGTGGTACCACCTGTAGTTCCAGGTAGTCAGGAGGATCACTTGAGCCCAGAATTCAAGGCTGCAAGTGAGCTATAATCTCGCCAATATACTCCTTGCCTGGCACAAAACAAGGTCCTGTCTCAAAAAAAATGAATGAGGAAAAGCTGTATTGCACAAACAACAATTTATTCAAAGGAGCGACATGACAATGAGACATCCCAGTGGTTTCTAGTTGTCTAGTTTTTTGACATCTTAGGTAAAGAAACACTTCAGTGATGGAAAATGTTACATGTAATTGCAGATACTTATTACCTAATGTTAAAATGTAGGCTGTACCATTTTAAATGTTCCTGAAATTGCCCTTATGGGGAGGGGGTAACTCAACTCTGTATAAGACGATCGATTGCCATTTTTGTTAAGAGATATCTTGGATTTTTTTTTTTTGAGGTTAAAAAGAAATGAACTGCTGTGAGCTTCTTCTCAATAATTTAAGATCCCTGGAATGATCCAGAAATTTATTTAATACAACAGTTAAACTCTTCTCCTTGTGTAAAATTTTTACTTATTTTTCCACATAAGAACACATCTCTGCTTTTATAATGCCAATCATTTAAAATAACATTAATTACTACATTAACGTTGGACTTATCCATCTCCAAGGCCAAGTAGCCAAGCTCCAGGGTTGCACCCCACAAGGGTGTGGTATCCGGGCTGTTGACCGATGTGGACACCTGGGGCGGTGGGGCAGGGGGTTTTGCCATGCAATGCCATGTGTCTGCAGTGCCATCCTGTGGTCGTGTTGCTAAATAAGAGCATGTCTTCATTTCTTCTCTCTAGGAAGGCCCTTTTGTCTACTTGTCTTGGTAGGAAACATTGCAAATTCTGATGGCTTGATTGCTTCTTTATGTAAGTAATTAAAAACATTTGCATTTGAAATGTTTGAGATTAATTGCAAGTGTGGCTGTCAATCAAATGAATGCCTTATCACATGTTATATGATTTCATTTATATGAAAGGTCCAGAGTAGGTAAACTGTAGAGACATAATAGCTTAGTGGTTGCCTAGGGCTGGGTGTGGGGTAGGGGTGGTGGGGAGAAAAGGGAATGACTGCTCATGGTCTAGTTTCTTTGGGAGGGCATAATAGAATGTTCTTAAGTTAGATCATTGTGGTTCAAATCTTTGAATAAACTAAAACCCATTCTTTAAACAGGTGCATTGTAGCATGTGAATTTCATCTCAGTAAAGCTATACATAATATTAAAAAATGTTTGTAGTAAGTGCAGATTGAAGAGCTTGCAGCATTTAACTGGGTATTTTTCATACTTTTTAATATCCAGTTTCTTTTATTTTATATATGTCTACACTCTTGTAGATAATTTCTAAATGTTTTCCGCTCTGCAGAGTATAGTTTAATATCTGAATCTAGTTACGTTTCTCTTCTTCATGCTTATTTAAAAAAAAAAAAAAAAAGAATCTCGCTCTGTTGCCCAGGCTAGAGTGAGTGCCATGGCGTCAGCCTAGTTCACAGCAACCTCAAACTCCCGGGCTCAGGCAATCCACCTGCCTCAGCTCCTGAGTGGCTGGGACTACAGGTGTGTGCCACCACACCGGCTATTTTTCTTTTTTTTTCTTTTTATTTCAGCATATATGGGGGTACAGAGTTTAAGGTTTCAGTAAATGCCCTTTCCCCCCCTCCCCACAAGTCTGAGTCTCCAGCATGACCATCCCCACATGGTGCACATCTCACTCATGTATGTATGTATATACGCCTCCCCCCCCACCTGCCCAATACCTATTACTGTAGTACCTATGTGTCCACTTAGGTCTGTCAGTTAATACCAGTTTGTGGTGAGTATATAGGGTGCTTGTTTTTCCATTTCTGGGATACTTCACTTAGTAGTATGGGTTCCAGCTCTAACCAGGAAAATAAAGATGTGCTATATCACTGTTGTTTTAGAGCTGATGTACTCATGGTAATTTTTGTTTTCTATTTTTAGTTGTCCTCCTGCCTTGGCCTCCCAGAGTGCAAGGATTATAGGCATGAGCCACCCAGCTGGCCATGCTCATTATTAATCACAATTCCAATTAATTAGTATCAACTATCTACCACATACTATGTCAATACTGACAAATAAATGAGCTGTGCATCAGTTCCTTTGCCATCTTTTTTTTTTTGGTAGAGATGGGTCTCACTATTTTGCCAGCTAGTCTCAAACTCCTGGCTAAAGCAATCTCTACCTTAACCTCCCAAATGCTGAGATTAACAGGCATGAGCCGGATGACCTTGGCCATTGCCACTTTTTTTTTTTTTTTTTTTTTTTTGAGACAGAGTCTCACTTTGTTGCCAGGCTAGAGTGAGTGCCGTGGCATCAGCCTGGCTCACGCAACCTCATCCTGGGCTCAGCGATCCTCCTGCCTCAGCTCTCCGGTAGCTGGGACTACAGGCATTCGCCACCATGCCGGCTAATTTTGTATATAATTTTTAGTTGGTCAATTAATTTCTTTCTTTTTGGTAGAACGGGTCTCGCTCAGGCTGGTTTCGAACTCTCAACCTTGAGCGATCCGCCGCCTCGGCTCAAAGTGCTAGGATTACAGGCGTGAGCCACCTGCGCCCGGCCTGCCACTTTTATAAAACTACCTTGCTAAGGATAGCTGCTTTCATATTTTGCTTCTGAAATTTTGCATTGTTTATCTCATTTCTTTCATGACTCTAAAATCTCATCTCCTCCAGCCAGGATCTATGTGGGGACTCCTGTTCACCACTAGTATTAGGAAACCTCTAGAGGATTGAATCAGCTTCAATCAGTGCTTCTCAAAACAAAACGAGTGTCATTTTTGATGCCTCAGGTCCTAGCCAGTGTTCTAGGGAGTCTATAGTCCAGACTCTCTCCTGCTCCTCCTCTCCCTGCTGTCCCTTCAGCACTCAATTTCTCTTCAGTTACTAATAAATATAGATAGAAAGGTAGGCACAGTGGCTCATACCTGCAATCCGCATTTGGGGGGCAAAATGGGAAGATCTCTCGAGGCCAGAAGTTTGAGACAGCCTGGGCAACATAGCAAACTTCATCTCTACAAAAAAATAGAAAAATTAGCCAGGTGTGGGGGCACGTCCTGTAGTCTCAGCAGCTGGGAGGCTGAGGCAGAAGGATTGCGTGAGCTAGGAGTTTGAGGCTGTAGTGAGCTATGTGATGCCACTGCACTCTAGCCACGGCAACACAGCAGACCCATCTCTAAAAAATAAAAATAATAAAATAAACATGTTTTTAATAATATTTCTAATAACAATTTCCCACATCTAAATTATATTTACAGGCCCAGGTGTGGTGGCTCATGCCTGTATCCTAGCATCTGGAGGCCGAGGTGGGCGGATTGCCGGGATCAATGTTCCAAAACACCTGAGCAAGAGCGGAGACCCGTTTCTACTATAAAAATAGAAAAATTAATGCACTAATATATATAGAAAAAAATTAGCCAGGCATGTGGCGCTGCCTGTTCCACGCTACTCGCGGGGCTGAGCAGAAGGATTGCTTGAGCCAGGATTTTGAGGTTGACTGTGAGCTAGCTGATGCCCACAGCACTCACTCTAGCCTGGGCCAACAAAGTAACTGCTGTCTCAAAAAAGAAAAATAAATAAATAATATATTTTCTATACGACTTATATGAATATGAAGTAAAATTATATGCATTATAAGTCATCAGTATAATTTTTTATTTTAATTAGAGTAGAGTCCCTGTCGCCCAGCTGGAAGTGCAGTTGGCACAACAAAATTTTAAAGATGTCTTTGCAGCCGGGCGGCGGTGGACGCCTGTAATCCTAGCATCCTGGGATCGAGCGGGCGGATGTTCGAGGTCAGATTGAAACCCGGCTGGCAAGAGGAGACTCCGTCTCTACTATAATTAGAAACGAAATAATGGCCAACTATATATATGAGAAAAAAATTAGCCGGGCATGTGGCCACATCCTGTAGTCCAGCTACTTGGGAGGCTGAGGCAGAGTTGCTTGAGCCCGGGAGGAGTTGGGTTGCTGTGAGCTAGGCTGACGCCACGGCCTCCTCTGCCCAGGGCAAACAAAGTGAAACTCTGTCTCAAAAAAAAAAAAAAAAAAGATTGTCTTTGCAAATCAGACTATGTTGAAATCTACACTTAGAATTTGCTATCTATAATGAACGAGCAGGGATGAGGAGGCGTATATGAAACACTTTGGAAACTGTAGTTATTGTCATAAATAATGACATGACATTATTTTTTCTACTGTGTTAGGTAGTGATACATTCTAGTCAAGGTTTCTCTTTACCAT